CCTGCCGCTCAGTGAGCGGTCCTTTATTGCTGTAACTGAGGCAGTATTCAACACAAGCAGCTCTGAGATTTCTCTTTGGTGCTGGCTGGAGGATGCATGCTGAGCTATCTGGAGCTTCTCAATCACCTTCTTGTCTTCTTCAAGCTCAGAAGTCATTATAGTGATTCTGTTTTCAGCTTTGCTTTGCCACGCTGTGGCTCTTTTTGTGACTGTTTCAGAGCAGCGTTTATGATCTGTATTCTATCACAAAGGGAATTATTTTCAGATTGCTCATACTTCAGAGCCTTTGCAAGAGCGTCTTTTTCTTCTTGCTCATGCTTCAGGGCTGCTTTGTGCTGAGCTGTAGATGTTTTCTCCTTCATCAAGGCCTCTTCAAGAACAGCTTTGGCTTTTCTCTCCTCGTCCTGGGCTTCCTGAAGACCAGATGATTTGTCATATCTCTCAGATCTTTCAGAGTCCTCTGTCTGTGAAACATAAAACAATTATTATTGTGTTGTCAATGTGCAGTGTTTTTTATTAAGAAAACAGAAGTGGAGTTAACTCTGCATCAATGGGGGTTAAAAAGTATGCTGTGATCAATTGCATTNACTTCCTCTGATGAGGTAAGAAATACATTCAGTGGCACACATGTTTACAATTACACTCATGAAAACTGTAAAAAAGCTTTAGTTTCTTTACTAAAGTTTTTCCAAAAAATAAATATTAAAATAGTAAATCATCTTTAATGCAATTGATCACAGCATACTTTTTAACCCCCATTGATGCAGAGTTAACTCCACTTCTGTTTTCTTAATAAAAAACACNAAGAAATTAAGGAGCAGACCTCCATCTCCAGCAACAGAGAAAACTACAGCGACACTTCCTTTGCTGATGTAAGAATTCAATTCAGTGGCACACATGTCTTAGACATGTGTGCCACTGAATTGAATTCTTACATCAGCAAAGGAAGTGTCGCTGTAGTTTTCTCTGTTGCTGGAGATGGAGGTCTGCTCCTTAATTTCTTCCTCCACCTCGTCAACAAACTCAACAATATCTTCGATTTCTGAGTCTGTCTCATCAAAGTTCGCAATCTCGTTGTTTTCCAACTGTTTCTCTTCAATGTGCTGTTTATTGAGAGTAGCCTCCAGTTCAATTTGCAGTCTTTTGTTCTCATAGGCGAGGTGTTGGTTCCCCTGAGTCAGACGGGCCAGTTCTTCTGCTTCCTTCT